GTTCAAACCCCAGTTATGCCCAATGTGATCTGGGGTATCTCACTTCATTTCTCTGGGCCCTGCTTCCTCAGATGTTAAATTAGGAGGTCGCAGTCGATGAAATCTAGGGCCTCTTCCAGTCCTAAATCTATGATCCTTCTAATACAGATTGACAAAGTGTTTTGTTCAGAACCACCTCATGAGGCAAGTAATGACAGAGAAGGAAATTGAGTTCAAAAAAGTCAAGTCCTCCATCATGTGATCATAAATAATGCTGAAAGGAACCTTTGAATTCTAGTTTAACCTTTTTATTTCACAGATAAGGAAACTGAGGCTTAGAGAGGATAAGTCACTTGACCAAATTCACATTACTTAGAAGTGTCTAAGTTGAGATTTGAACCCAAATCCACTGACTTGGAGTCCAATGCCACTGTCATATGCCATCTCTCTTGAGAGTCAAAATTGCTACAAGGCAAATTAAAAGCATCAACAAGAGTGAAAGCAGGTGAAAATTTCAACCTGCTTAATTGTTTTTTTCAATAAGTAAATTCTGAATTGAGTACAACCATGCATGATACAAAGAAGTGAAAACGTGATCTCTGTTCTGAGGAGGTTACTCTCCGGTTAACAATAACTTGAAAAATTATTTAAGGTAACACATAATAAGTAATAACACTTGCAGAGCACATTAAGATTTGCAAAATACTTAATAAGTACTATCTCATTTTATCCTCACAAAAACCATGGGAGGTAGATGCTATTCTTATCCTCATTTTACAGTTGAGGAAACTGGGGCAGACATAAGTTAAGTGACTTGGCCAGGGACACACAACTAATAAGTGTCTGAGGTGTATTTTGAACTTCCTGACTCTAGCCAATACTTTATCCACTGAACTGCCTGGCTGTTAGATGATGGAGTGGGTCAGAAATTACTGTCTCCTTTAGAATATAAACTCCTTGAGGGCAGGGACTATCTCTTTGCCTTTCTTTTAATCCTAAGCACTTAGCACAGTCCCTGGCACTTAATAAATGCATCTTTACTTCACTATCTAGCATTATGCCTTGTATATAACAGGTATTTAATAATTGTTGAATAGGTATAGAAATTTAGATCATTATAGGCTAAGGCAAGTATGTGAGAAAGCCTCAAATAGATTATAGGTATTGACTTAGGCTACTTGGAAGCCATTTGACAGCATCCCTCTGCTTAGAAATATCTAAAGATGCTTCATTTATCCATTAAACTAAGTTTATAGGCAGCATTGCGGTGAAGAGGAAAGAGTCAAAGAGATTGAATTTAAATTAAAACTCTGCCGTTTACTATCCATGTGACCTTGGGTTAGTCCCTTAAACTCTTTAGGACTCAAATTCTTCAATTGTCAAAAGAAGAAGTTGAACTGAATGACTTCTAAGTACTCTCCCCCTTTTAATTCCATGATTCTGTGGTGATTAAGAGTACCATTAAGCCTGAATTTATCCTATTTGTTCTACTTCCTACCTGTGTGACCTTGAATTTACCTCTTTAGGTCTCAGTTCTTTCATTTGTAAAATGAGGGCATTGGGATTTCCCTTTCCAATTCTATACCCTAGGTAGTTATTTGTTCAATACTTAATGGTAACAAACTGCTTTTATTTACAATTCAGCTTTTTTGAATGAAGTTTATATTATCCTGTTCATAGTATCATCATAATTTCTAAAAAGAAATTATAATGGAGATTGTTGCAATAGAATTCCTTGCAACCACTCCTATCGCTGCCTCTGCTGAGTGATACCTAATTGTAACTTTTCCCTTTTGGTGATAGATTTACTTGCATCCTTCTCCCTCTGATAATGCAGACTTATGGTATCCTCTTGTCCTGGACCCCTCTTTTTCTGTCCCTATTCCCTAATTCCAAGTCCCCAGATGTTTCATATTAATCCTCAAGATTTCCTTTGTGTAAGTAAAAATGTTGCCTGTAATAGACTATTGTTTTTAGCATTACTGGACTTTGTGACTCTTTTGGGAATGCCCCAAAATCCCAGGATGGATGGAACGGACTAGGATATTCATGAAATAAATGACAAGTGCAGCAGATGGTGCTGATTTTTCTGACTGTTCCAAACTTGCAGGATGGTGCCAGAAGACATGATTTTAATTCTCAGCCCTGATAATGACTTGCCTGTGACCTTAAAACCATATGTTTAACTTTTATGCCTTAGTGTCTTAGAGCCAATAGGAACTACCAATCCCATTTCTCACACAACTAATGTAAGACTTTTGTCCTGTCACTGGACTTCAATGATTCTGGAGGAGATTGAGGCTGACAATTTTGTGCAACTTTGCCTCACTTAAATCCAATTCACAGGTAAGTCAAGACATCATCCTGTGATGTCATCGGTCCTCTTAGAAAACAAAGGACAAACAAACAATAACAACAACTGTAAGACTGTATAAAGATAAAGTTATATCTGGAAGGGGGAGGGAAAAAAGAAATTTACATGATAACTGTTATCAAATATAAACTAAGTTTATATTTGGAGGGAATAGCAAGTTGTATATGGTAGATTTGAAGTTTCATATGCCATCATCTTTTTTATTTTACTGTGTTACGGAAATGCTTGTTTTGTTCTGTGAATTGAAGATAAAATAAATTTGAAATACAAAATAAATAAATGAAATATATGAAGACAAAAAAAGATAAAGTCACGCCTGCTATTTGGAAAGTAGGCATTATATGAAGAGGGTAGAAAAAGCTGAGTAGTATCACATTATCATAGATTTAGAGTTGGAAGGGACCTTAGAGGTCACTGAGTCCAACCTCCTCACTTTAAAGATGAGGAAACTGAAGCTCAAAGAATTTAAGTGACTTACCCACAGTCACACCATTAGTCAGTCACAAATGGCTTGGATGGATGGTTTAGGAGCCTGAGAAGGAAACTGACCAACTAGACATCCTAAGATCTCTTATAGCCAGCCCCCTAGGATGTGACGTCTCCATGAAACACAAAGCATCATTATTATACCAACCATACCTGATGCTTTCCAAATACTCACAGATTCAGGTGCCAAGAGTTGGGGTGAAATTGATAGAGCATTGGATTTAGAGTCGGAAAAACAGACTCCCATCTCTGCCATTGAATAAATGTCTTCCCCAGACTGTGCCATACACCATGCCATAGCAGTCTTCTCAGCCTGGAAGTTCAATCAGCCCTCTACAGTCTCCTCAACTTGGAAACTGACTCTGCTCCTGGCCTTCGCACCTTGGAAATACACTCTGCCCCTACAACCCTTCCTTTGATTGGCTGGCTCCTCCTAGAACCTCCATTTTAGGAAAAAGCTCAGGCCAGGTCTTCATTCCTCTTTGCGCTCTTCCCCCATTAGAATGTATGCTCCTTGGGGGCAGGGACTGTCTTTCTTTCTGCTTCTATTTGTTTTCCCAGCACTTAGCACAGTATCTAGCATATAGTGAGCACTTAATAAATACTTGTTGCCTCGACTAATAGCACTGTGGCCATGGGCAAATCATATGACTTCTTGAACCACAGTTTTTAATCCATAAAGTGGGTATTAATAACTATTATACGGTTATTATGAGGTGTTCATAAGATAAAACATGTAGAAGTACTTTGCGTACTTTGATACATCATATTAAAGTCTACTGCTATTTTTTACGTTATTATATTTTTCAACTTGTGTTTGAGGCTGGGCACAGGAAGAGTTACGGAACTTGGGTTAACCTAAGCAGTAAGATCAGATCTAAATACAGTCAGACTTTAAGAGAAAGTATCTAATAGAAATTTACATTATGTATATTAGAAGCACTGACCAAGGAAATCAGGCTGCCTTGCCCTTCTCCCTCCCTCCCTCCCTCCCTCCCATGCAGATCAGCCTGAAATTTCCAGGGACTAAAGATATTTGGTAAGAATAGCAAACACTCAAAAATGAAATCATTTGGAATTCAACCTCACTGAACTGTGAAAAGCAACTTCAGACAGAGCTAAGGGAGGTTACTAATTTGGCTAAAACCCAACCACACCATTCAGAAGATATCATTTCACTGGAATATTTTTTTTAATAAAAGGAGAAATAGGATGAAGAAAAGGTTGAAACAAATTTTAGCAATCACGTCTCACTAAGCCGTACTGATGCTCAAAAGCAGGGATTCTAAGACTTGCCCTCAAGTGGCAGGTCAGTAGCATAGATGAATACACACACGTGCATACATACTCATATATATATATATATATATATATATATATATACACACACACATTATACATTATACATTTATATATACACACAAGTATATGTATGTATTTATGTATATGTATGTACACTTGTCTGTATGTATACATGTACATGTGTGTGCCTATATATAAACATGTACTGTGTATGCACACATACATGTATATAGATCTCCAGGCAACAGAGTCAGGGAATCTCAGGAAGTTACATGGTACTCTTGCCAAATGCCCTTCATAGTAATAAAGAATGAATAGATAAAAAGGATGTATTAAACACATTATATATTATGTACTGTGCTAAGCTCTGAGGATACAAATGTAAGCAAGCAAATAATTCCTGACCACAAGGAACTTCTATTCTAATAGGGGATAACAAAACACATAAAGAGGAGCTAGAAGAGGGGAAGGTGGTAACTCATTCAGTGGTATGGTTTGGAAATGTCCAGGAAATGAGTGATCACTTTTCTATGAAATCTTTGGCTTACAAAGTGCTTTCCTCATACCAACTGTATAAAGTTATCTTATATAGTATAATTATATTCTATTATATATTCATATATAAGTATATGTATATATGTGTATGTGCATCTGTATATGTGTGTATGTGCATGTATGTGTGTGTACCCCTGTCATACATGAGAAAACATATACTCAGAGGGATCAAGTGACTTTTCCGCAGACACATAGATATTAAGTATCATTGGTTGGAATTGAACTCAGATTTTTTGTTCCAAGTCCAAAGCTCTTTCCATTATCACATGTTGTCTTTCATAAAATCAGATATAACAAAGCTTACCTGTACCAAAACTCTCTTCCCCACACAGAGAACACCTTCCTGAGTCCATCAAATTAGAGAAGAATCTCCAACCTGCTGGGGTCTCATATACAGGGACTTTCAGTGATTTGGCCACCCTAAAAAAATATATATATATAGCAGTTAATTCATGTACTGCCTTCCCTTTCCTCTGTGTAGATAAAGGTGCTCAGAAATCACTGGACCAGTACCTATTTTTCATAAGCTTATGGACATCATTTGACAATTTTCATCCATATGGTGAAATAGGAAAAATGTTGGATTTAGAAGTCAAGAAAATTTGAGATCAGACCCCACCTCTAACATTTAATAACCCTGTGATCATAGATATAACTTCTCTATACCACAGTTCTCTTATCCATAAAATGGGAATAATAATATCTGCAGAACTTAACTCACAGAGTTGTGATAAGGATCAACTGTGATAATATATGTAATTCACTTTGCAAGCCTTAAAGCACTATATAAGTGTTATATTAAATTAAATGTCATTGTTATCATTATAAATTTCAGGATTTCATACCATGGTGTAGGAAGTGAAAGTAGTTAAGTCAACCAATAAAATGTAAGTCCAAATTTCTCCTTTACAGGAATGTTTCATAATGGTGTTTCCAAGGATACGAAGGTATAGTAAAAAGAAAGCTGACTTTGTAGTGAGAAGATTTCAATTGGAATCCTGCTACCTGAGTGATTTGGGGGAAGTTCCTTAACCTCTCTAGGCCTTGGTGTCCTTAGCTATAGAATGAGAAATCTTGGAGGCACTAGGTGGTGCAATGGATAGAGCACCAGCCCTCAAGTCAGGAAGACCTAAGTTCAAATCCAGCCTCAGACACTTGACCCTTACTAGTTGTGTGACCATGGGCAAGTCTCTTAACCCCATTGCCTAGGCAAAAAAAAAAAAAAAAAAGAGAGAGAGAGAAGTCTGGACTAGATCATCTCTAAAGTTTCTTCTAGTTCTAAAGCTATGACACTCCATCCTACCATACTGATTTGCTCCTCTATTTTGGATTTCTCTGAAAATAATTTACTTTTCACTTGTCCCTGAATCTCTCCTGTCCTGTGATAACAATAGTGATTTTATGATTCTAGATAATAGAGACCTGGTAAGACATTAGAGGTAAGTGTTCTGTCCTCTGTTTCCTCAGCTTAAGAAGGCCCAGGATGCTGGGGATGCATGGAGAAGAGATTGTGGTGAGACATCACACTAGATCATGGAACTAGCTTAGCAGCCACTGCCTACTAGAATACCAAGACAGTTCCCAGTATAGAGGATGAAGTCCAAACCAATGATCCAAACCTCACTTTTCATCTAAATTAAGTTTTGTTTAACATGTAATTGGGCAAAATGGTTTCCAGTAGTTTATTTTATTTCATTCTCCTTTTTCATTTTTGATACAATCATATTTTCTTCTCTTTTTAAAAACTGACTAGCCATTTATTTTATTAGCTTTTTAAAAATAGCTCTGAGTTTTATCAGCTTAATGTGGGTGGTTTTGGTGATTTGTTTTGTTCTTTGCTTTCAATTTTATTAATCTCTTCTTCAATTTTCAGAGTTTCTACTTTGAGATTTAGTTGGGTTTTTTAAAAGTTTAATATTATAGGGTTTTTTTAATTGAATGGCCACTACATTGATTTATTTTTCACTCTCTTTTGTTGATGAAAAGATTTAGAGATAAAAAAAATTTCCCTAAGGACTACTTTATCTGCATCCCATAAGTTTGGGTATGTTGTCTTATTATTGCACATTATATTTTCCCTCTCTTTTGTTGATGAAAAGATTTAGAGATAAAAAAAATTTCTCTAAGGACTATTTTACCAGCATCCCATAAGTTTGAGTATACTATCTCATTGTTGCACATTATTTAATGACATTTCTATTGTTTCTACGATTTGTTCTTTGACTCATCGGTTTTTTAGGATTCAATTATTTAGTGTCTCATTGATTTTTAATACTTTATTTTAAAACCCTTAATTGAATTTTTATCTGAACAAACCCTAAGTGTCCATCATCATCACATCCCAGTGAGGAGTAGAAGTGAGTTTCCCATTGATGTGCCAACAGTGATTCAGTAAGGTTAAGATACAGGAATTTTCAGAATTTCAGGAAATTTTAGAAATGCTGAAAACTGTTAAGAGAGGAGGACTCCAGATTTCTGAGAAACCTAAATAATTCCAGGTGTCTTTCAAAAAGGAGGGGCATGGAAATTCCATATCTTCGGTATCACATCAAAGATTCAGACCACCAATCTGAATCCATAAAATTAAGGGGCGGTAATTATTTTTATGATTTAGCATGAGTCAATATTTCCTAATCTAACCAGACTCACAGCTGCTTCAAAATAAATCTTGTGTACCTTCTGCCAAAAGGAAAATCTTAAGTTATCTTCAAAGAATCATTTTATTACAGCTTTTCATTGGATTGTGACTAAATTCACCTCTCCAGTGATCCTAGGCCTCCATTTTAGATGGACATAATAAGCCAGAGCTCTTTATCTGAGTAAAATCAACTGTATTCATAAAAAAAATTTAGAATTGAAAGAACATATTTCTTTTAGGAAGAAGCTTTAGATATATATTATGTAAATTTAGATTAAATATCTCTCAGAGAAGTAGACAAAGGATGAATGATAGTGTATCTCATTTCAGAAAAGCAAGCTCCAATTCCATCTCTGTATCACCCAAATTTCATTTCTTTCTAGGATCAAATTTGTGAAACTTGTTTTAATTCTGGGATATCAATTTACTCTAAAATTGCCCTGAAGAGCTCTGCTTATTCATATTTTTCCTAATATTGTTTATTGCCATACCCCTTCTTGTAATAAGCTGTGACCCTGAAATACTATTCTTGGGATTATCCTTCAACACTTTATGTACAAAGATGATGGATTGTTTTAGGCTACATTTTGTAAGAGGATTGTCAACAAGTAATTCAAAACACTTCTGGAACCCTAATACATAGCAGTGCCCTTCACACTAAGTTATTAACCAAATAATGGTCCTACATATTTTCATATCAGCTGTCTACCTCTGAAGAGAAAATAAATATTTTCTGATTATGGTGAGTTGACAGTTTTCAACCTACCCACACTGCTTTTAAAAGTAGCAGCAGAAAACTGGCTATGGTAAAAGAAGTATTGAAGGTCAAAGTTGTAGAGCATATATATAAATAGAATCATAGAATCTTAGGGTAGGCAGGAACATCAGAGGTCATTTCTAACAACTGCCTGCCCTGGGCAGAAATCTAGTAGACAATATGTCTGACAGATGGTTATTTACTTACCCTCTATTTGAACACTTCCATTGTTGAACAGTTCTAACAATATTTTTTTAAAGCCCCCCTTATATTGAACCAAAATCTATCTCCCTGTACCTTCTTCCCTCTGGTCCGAATTCTGCCCTCTGGAGTAATGCAGACTAGGTCTGCTATCTCTTTCACCTGATAGCCCTTTAAATGTTGGAGGACAACTACTCTTTCCTCAGTTTAATCCCCACCAGCTCTTTTAACCATTTCTCATTTGACAGTTCTTATTATTCTCACCACCTTGGCCACTCTTCTCCATATCCACTCCAGTTTGTCAGCATCCCCAACATGAACAAAATATTCATCTTCTGGGCCAAGCAGAAATACTTCAAAAGATATATGTTTTTAGCAATGGGCATAATCCTTCAACCAACCCCTCTACACCTGCCCCTAGTAAATTATTGCAGACAAAAATAAATAAATAAATCATTATTTGGTGACCAAAGCAGTGGAGATAAGATACACTGAAATTGGCAAGGATGGCCCTAGGATGCCAGACACATAGTTTGAATAGAGTATTGAACTCTATTATATAAGCCTGAAAATTCATTACAATTTTGAGCAGCCACAGAGTTGGTTTATATGGAGCTTATGGTTAACTACAAAGTCTTTTTATGTAAAATTCCATCACTCTCCTCAATCTTGTACTGATGAAATTGATTTTTTAAAACCTAAATATAGGACATTACATTCATCTTCATTAAACTTCATCAGGTTTCTTTTGACCCATCATTGCATCCTTTGAATATAATTTTGGAACTTGATTTCATCATTCATGTTATTAGCTATTTTTCCCAGTTTTGTATCATCTGCAAAATTAAAAATATATGCCTTCATCTAAATCATTAATAAAAATGCTGAGCAAAATAAATTCAAATATATGTCACTAAAAATCACTCTTCAGGTTGACCATGCTGTATTAATCAATTAACACTATTACTTATTAATTAATGTCTATTAATATTGTTGATTATTCATTGTAGCACCTGTTGACTAATTCTATTTTAGCAAAGTTCTTCAACCAACCATGAACCTATCCAGTGTATTATCATCAAGACTTTGTTTCTCTATCTTGTCCACAAAGAAAAGCCTCAAAAGTACATTGTGTTGCAATCTCCTGTTCCGTAAGTCCAATAATGTTGTTTTTAAAATTAATGCTTTAACTCATTATTGATTAGAGAAATGCAAATTAAAACAACCTTGAGATATCATTTTATACCTACTAGATTGGCTAAAATGATAGAAGGGGAAAGTGACGAATGTTGAAGAGGTTGTGGGAAAATTGTAGAATGATCCAACTGTTTTGGAGAGCAGTCTGGAATTACTTCCAAAGAATTATTAAACTACCCATACCCTCTGACTACTACTCCTTGGACCATTTCCAAAGATAATTGGGGGAAAAGGGAAAAAAACCTATACTTTCTAAAATGTTTATGGCAGCTTTCTTTGTGGTGACAAAGAACTGGAAATTGCAGGGATGCCCATCAAATTGGGGAATGGCTGAATGAGTCGTGATATATGATTGTGATAGAATACTACTGTGCTATAAAAAATGATAGCTCCATAGTTTTAGAAAAACATGGAAAGACTTGCACAAGATAATGAAGAATGAAATGAGTAGAACCAAGAGAACATTGTGTACAGTGACAACAATATTATTTTAAGAATCACTTTGTGTGGGGGCAGCTAGGTGGGTAAGTGGATAGAACACCAGCCCTGAAGTCAGGAATACCTGAGTTCAAATCCAGCCTCAGACCAAACACTTGACACTTACTAGCTTTGTGACCCTGGGCAAGT